TGACTTTAAAAGCTTGTATTCATAAAATTCTTGGGTAAGCTTGTATCAATTAAATTTCAATTATATACAAGGAATTCTATGTCACTCCTCTCTCCATATTTTGTTACATTACTAATTAAGTCTTTATATTTCATGTGCCCTGTGACACAAATTTATCCTGGGCTTTTATTAAAAAACATGAAGGGCAAAACATTTAAAATTATCAACCAAGAACACATTATCACTAACCCTTATACTTGTCTATGCTTCCCCTTAATTTATTACCTTTTATTATAGAGATTTGAATTACTTTCTAGTAATCTAGTGCACGTAACTTCTGTATCAATTTGCAAGAGGCTTGTGCTGGTATACTGCAAATAGACCCTTGGAGAACTCTTCCTTATTCCATTGAACGCTGAAACTTGAGCTCCTTTCTTTTTGTACCTATGTGCCCTGTGGTGGATTGAGAAACAGGTTCTTTTTCTGGGGCCACTACCTCAATCAACAGAAGCTAGTAGTCCCTCTTGGCTGGGGTAGGGACAGGGAGAGTGGGAGAAACAATTTTCCTATGCTAAGCAACTCATTCTTGATTTGTTGATTCTTGCCTGTCTTTAGATCCCTGCTGCTTCTTTCTCTTTCCCAATTCAGAGTACTAAAAAATCGACCATTTCCTTATTGTATTTCTTTTTTTATTGAGATATAATTAACATATTATAAAATTCAATGGTACAATCATATCAAAAAAAGGCTGTGCAGTCATAATCACAATAAACTTTGATGCGTTTTTCCATTCTTTTACCCATTGATGCTGATTCTCTATTGCCCCTTCCCTCTCCATTTGTGTCTCTAGCATAATAAATCTTATTACTATCCTTACATTTTCTTCAATTTCAGTTTCCTTACACTTATAACTATACAAGGCTTACATAGACCAAGCAAGGACCCATGAACAATGAGCATACAGAACGGATAGAGACCTCAATCAAATAGAAAGCAGAGAATGCTAAAAGTTTAGGATTCATTCACATTGATCAGTAGGGAAATAAAATTAAAGACATTATATTCAAGCCTAAGTATAGTTGCTAAAATCCCCTTCACAGTGCTCACCATCTGATTTGGGGGCTACTGTTGTTTCTAGTCAACATGTACTGGGATTCACTGGAGGCTTATTCCATATAGTGACCCTGTAAATAGATTTTGAGCTACCACTATTATCTATAGTTTTCTGAAATCTGGGTATTTAAGATCTGGCCACTGGTTTCGTTCCTTTTCCTAGGTTTGGATCTTGTTATTGGCTATCTTTGGATCACACAGGTTGGTATGTTTCATTGGTATGGGCTACCTGACTCCTCAACTAGATCATTGCTTGTTTTGAGACAAGCCTTTAAGACTTCAGATGTTATTATTTATGATAGGAAGGCACCATCTAGGTTCTTCACCACTCTTTGATATTGCCCCATATCTTCAGTGATCTTTTTATGGGTGCGAATACCAGGCAGGGCCATGAAGTTAAAGCTAATTACTCTTATTTTAGGGCCACAATCAAGTGATAGCTCAAAACCCATTCCTATAATTGTTCATATGAGTCTGTGGTTCTATTTTTGAGATATCTTTGTTATTCATTGTAGTACATCCTCAATAATCACCCTGGAGTTCAAAGCCATTCTATTTCCAGGAATAGTATATTAGTCAATAGTTTAGGATTTTCAGGAGAAAGAAGAGCCCTTCTACTCCCGTAAAGAGGTAACAATTCAGAAACTCACAAGGCAGTTCTCACCTATTGTATTGGTGTACTATGAGTATGCATCAACTTGCTGGCAGTGAGTTTTGAGACAGTAGAGAATTTCACATGTGTTGGGAGAGGGAGCCAGATTTGCTTTATAAATCATTTTACTGGGGGCTTATACAGCTCTTAACACAATACATCCATCCATCCATTGTGTCAAACACATTTGTACATTTGTTGCCATAATTATTTTCAAAACATTTTCTTTCTACTTGAGCCCTTGCTATCAGCTCCTCATTTTCCCTTCCCTCCCTCACGAACCTTTGATAATTTATAAATTATTATTATTTTTTCATATCTTACACTGACTGATGTCTCCCTTCACCCATTTTTCTGTTGTCCATCCCCCAGTCAGGGGGTATATGTAGAGCATTATTATCAGTTCCCGATCTCTGCCATCCCTCCCCCCACCCTCACTGACCTTCCCCTTCCCCTCCTGGTATTGCTATTCTCATTCTTGGTCTTGAGGGGTTTATCTGTCCTGGATTCCCTGTGTTTCCAGCTCTTATCCATACCAGTGTATATCCTCTTGTCTAGCCAGATTTGTAAGGTGGAATTGGGATCATGATAGTTGGGGGAGGGGAGCATTAAAGGGCTAGAGGACAGTTGTATGTTTCATTGGGGTTCTACAGCACCCTGACTGGGATGGAGCCTGTTTTTGTCTTGTTTTTTTATCCTTATAATAGTGGACTTGCACAATATTTTTTTCTTTTGTGATTGACTGATTTCACTCAGTATATTGGTTTCCAGTTCCCTCCATGTCATGAGGCATTTCATGGTTTCAGCATTTTAAGGGGTGCTTAGTATTCCATTGTGTATATGTATATTAGTTTCTTTATCTAATCATAAACTGATGGGAATTTGGGTTGTTTTCAGCTTCTTGTTATTGTGGACTGTGATACTGTAAGCATTTGGGAGCATATGTCTGTTACTGTTATTTCTCTTATCGATGGGTCATATGTTTCCATTCCAGCTGTTTCAGATAGACCCATGCCAATTTACACATTGGTTATATATGTTTTGAATCCCACCAGAATTCAATGTTTTTCAATGGATGATGTTTCATAAATAGATTGTAAAATCTTTCTTCCAAGGTGCCTCTAGTTTGACTTGAACCACAGATTTTTGATTAGTAGCCAAATTGTTTCAAGCAGCCAGATACTATAGCTGCTTCTGATTCTGCCTGTGTATTTGTCACTCACAGGACTCAGTACTATTTCCTCCACATTACAGTGGATCCGCATGTCAGCTCTCCTCCTTTCCGTTTTAGATGTAAATGAGTTTTTAAAAAAATAACCAATACTTTTTTTTGTTATGAATACTAACCAATACTTTTGTGATATGAACTTGAACATAAATTATTTCAGTTAGCTTTGATTGAAATAACAATAGGTTTACAATCCTTTATTGATAATGCAAAATTTTAAATGTTCCTATAACAAAATGTAATTACAAATCTTGTGTCTACTAAATTCCACAAAATATGAACTTAGGCAATCTAATGATATTTATTTCCTTTATGTACCCTAATCACTCTAATACTTGGAATTTTCACCAGCTACATATTAAAAGTTTTATTTGAGTTGTTAGACAATGTCAATGTATGATCCATATAGCCAGTACCAGTCCATTTTTGCTCACAACTGCCTACAATGATGTTTTTTTAATATGTTCCATTTCACTTTTAACAGTTTCTAATTGTCCCCAATATATACTACATACATTCTATGTTCTGTTTATTAATTGATTTTTACAGCTGTTTCTTCTCATTTTCAGTTATAACCCATCAGCAAATAAATGTCTCAAATGCTTTACTCCCACAGGTTTTACTTCAATCAAGTCACTGTGGTAGACTCTACTTTGATAAGCAAGCTCTTCCTCAGTCATATTTTGAGTACCTTCTGACATGAAGGATTCGCCTTCTCATACTATCTCTGACAAAGCGTTGCTTCTTTTCATGAGGTTTTCAGTATCTGACAATGTTTCAGTTCCATTAATATTTTCAGTGGCTAATTCCTTCTCCACAGTCTCTTCTGAGTCTGGAACTCTGCTGGAACCTGTTAACTTTTCATTGCCCCGATGGCATTTGAAATCTGGTGAAATAGGTTCTAGAGACACAGCGACATACAAGCCACCACATTATGACACACTGACAGAGAAGTGGTAGACAGGTTTCTAGTGGCCCTAGCTATATTCATTCATTGTTCATGAAGTGTGTTGTTTTGAAGGTTGATTGTTAAACAAGAGATTAATCACTAATCAGTTTATCAAAGTAAATTTTATTAGAAACACCAGATTTTTTTCATTTTAAATGACTAGTAATGGATACATCAACAAGATATATAGAAATAATTCAGCTGACCTATGATACGTTACAAGGGGGATCTTAGGAAGCTTGCTAATTGCCCTAGAGTTGATGAGCTTATGGGACTGACCTTATTGGTCTTCATGGAGTAAATTTTATTCCAAATATTCTTTTTTCCCCCTAAAAGTATGCATCTTACACCTTCTATATGACCTGGGTTGTGGTTACATATTACAAGAGATAGTATAAGCTCATAATTTCCAGCACTGGATAACTTTAATGATGCTTTTTTTGTTTTAAACCTTATTTCCTAGTTATATATGGGCCCATGAACATATACTAAAGAGCAGTGGAAAATTTTACTGTAGATTTTGCACTATCTTCTAGCTCAGTGGCTCTCAAGCTTCCCAATGCTGCAACTCTTTAATACAGCTCCTCATGTTGTGGTGATCCCCAACCATAAAATTATTTTCATTGCTACTTCATAACTGTAGTTTTTCTACTGTTATGAATCATAAAGCAAATATCTTATACACAGGATGTATTTTTATTATTCCAAATTGAACATAATGAAAGCATAGTGATTAATCACAAAATCAATATGTAATTAAATATTGTGAATTATTTCTAATTACAAATAAATGAAATTTTGTCGTGAAACATGGTAACAGTTTTCACGCTGAGTACTCGTATGTGCGCGTATCTGCATGTGTGCGGACCGGCCTAGAGATGAATAGAGGAGTGGTGGATAGAGTGTGTATTCCAATGGTCTTAGGCGACCCCTGTGAAAGGGTCATTCAATCCCCCAAAGGGGTCGCGACCCACAGGTTGAGAAACGCTATTCTAGCTGATTAAATTAGCCTGTTTTGGCCCTCACTCACCTAGAAGGCGCCTCTCTCCGCTTGCACGCCCGCTGGCCGCCCCGCAGAAATGCTCCAATTACCTGCAGTCCTTAGTCAAGTGAGGCCAGTGTCCCGGGTACTGGCTCCTTACTTCACTCTGGCTTATGCCAAAGATGTAAAATTTGGTGCAGACGCCTGAGCCCTAATGCTTCAAGGTGTAGATCTTTTAGCCGATGCTATAGCCGTTACCATGGGGCCAAAGGGAAGAACAGTGATTATTGAGCAGAGTTGGGGAAGTCCTAAAGTAACAAAAGACGGTGTCACAGTTGCCAAATCAATTGACTTAAAGGATAAATACAAGAATATTGGGGCCAAACTTGTCCAAGATGTTGCCAATAACACCAATGAAGAGGCCGGCGATGGTACCACCACGGCCACTGTACTGGCATGCTCTATCGCCAAGGAAGGCTTTGAGAAGATTAGCAATGGTGCTAATCCAGTGGAAATCAGAAGAGGCGTGATGGTAGCTGTTGATGCTGTAATTGCTGAGCTTACGAAGCAATCTAAATCTGTGACAACACCTGAAGAAATTGCTCAGGTAGCTACAATTTCTGCAAATGGAGACAAAGAAATTGGCACCATCATTTCTGATGCAATGAAAAAGGTTGGAAGAAAGGGTGTCATCACTGTAAAGGATGGAAAAACATCGAATGATGAATTAGAAATTATTGCAGGAATAAAATTTGACCGAGGTTATATCTATTCATACTTTATTAATACAGTCAAAGGTCAAAAACGTGAATTCCAGGATGCCTATGTTCTATTAAGTGAAAAGAAAATTTCTAGCATCCAGTCCATTGCACCTGCTTTTGAAATTGCCAATGCTCACTGTAAGCCTTTGGTCATAATTGCTGAAGATGTTGATGGAGAAGCTCTAAGCACCCTCATTTTGAATAGGCTAAAAGTTGGTCTTCAGGCTGTAGCAGTCAAAGCTCCAGGTTTTGGTGACAATAGAAAGAACCAGCTTAAGGACATGGCAATTGCTACTGGTGGTGCAGTATTTGGAGAAGAGGGTTTTGACCTTGAATCTTGAAGATGTTCAGCCTTAGGAAAAGTTGGAGAGGTCATTGTGACCAAAGATGATGCCATGCTCTTGAAAGGAAAAGGTGACAAAGCTCAAATTGAAAAGTGTATTCAAGAAATCATTGAGCAGTTGGACATCACAACTAGTGAATATGAAAAGGAAAAACTGAATGAACGTCTGGCAAAACTTTCAGATGGAGCAGCTGTGCTAAAGGTTGGTGGGACGAGTGATGTGGAAGTGACTGAGAAGAAAGACAGAGTTTCTGATGCCCTCAATGCAACACGAGCTGCTGTTGAAGAAGGCATTGTTCTTGGAGGTGGCTGTGCTCTGCTTCGGTGCATTCCGGTCTTGAACTCATTAACTCCAGCAAATGAAGATAAAAAAATTGGTATTGAGATTATTAAAAGAACACTCAAAATTCCTACAATGAACATTGCTAAGAATGCAGGTGTTGAAGGATCATTGATAGTTGAGAAAATTCTGCAGAGTTCCTCAGAACTATGATGCTATGATTGGAGATTTTGTGAATATGGTAGAAAAAGGAATCATTGATCCAACCAAGGTTGTAAGAACTGCGTTGTTGGACGCTGCCGGAGTGGCCTCTCTGCTGACCACAGCAGAAGTTGTAGTCACAGAAATCCCTAAAGAAGAGAAGGACCCTGGCATGGGTGGGATGGGTGGAATGGGAGGGGGCATGGGAGGCATGGGAGGTGGCATGTTCTAATTGTTAGACTAGTGCTTTGCCATTTCTTGATGAACTGTGACAAGGAAGCTCCAGGCAGTGTTCCTCACCCAAACGTTCAGAGAAGTCAGTTCAGGAGAAGAAAATGAAGAAAAGGCTGCCTGTTGTTTTAAGAAAATCCATATCACCATCAGTTACTCGTTTCAGTTGACAATATAGAATGGTTTACTGCTGGCATGTCCATGCCTATAGATAATTTATTTCGTACTTTTGAATAAAAAGACATTTGTACATTGCTCATACTTGGTGTAAGAGCCATTACCAATGTACTGCTTTCAACGGAAATCACTGAGGCATTTTTACTAAAATTCTGTTAAAATCAGGATTTTAGTACTTGCCATCATTAGATGAGAAGTTAAGCAGCCTTTCTGTGGAAGAATAATTGTGTACAAAGAAAAATACTCAATTATGTGACAACTTTTCTGTAATAAAACCTTGCTTAAAGTCGTGTTAAAAAAAATTAGCCGGTTTTGAATTCAATACTGCTCATGTTATGTTTGCTCTATGGTTGGGTGTGTGGTTGTGCACTTTAAACATTCCTTCATATTAATGTAACATTGATTAATTTATCAATATTCTTTTTTACATTATATATTATTTTCAATAATTAAAACTATCTAAAGTATGACAGTAGAGCTGTGTTGTATATTCACAAATAAGAAATCTGAAGGTGAGGTAAAATACTCTACATTAAGAGAGATTGTAGAGAATACCAGAAAGGTGTTTACTTATGTTTTATTGACCTTGCCAAGGCATTTGACTCTGTGGATCATAACAAACTATGGATAACTTTGATAAGAATAGAAATTCCAGAACACTTCATTGTGCTCATAACGAACTTGTATATGGATGAAGAGGCAGCTGTGCAAAGGGAACAAGAAAGGAAGTGCTGCATGGAATACTGCAGGGGTTAAAAATCAGGAAAGGAGTATGAAAGTTGTATCTTCTCACCATGCTTATTCAAAATTTATGGTGAGCAAATAATCAGAGAAACTGGCTTATATGAAGAAGAATGTGGCATCAGTATTGGAGGAAGGCTTATTAACAACCTGAGATATGCAGATGGCACAGCTTGCTTGCTGAAAGTGAGGAGGACTTGAAGTGCTTGCTGATAAAGTTCAAGATGGCAGACTTCAATATGAACTACAACTCAATGTAAAGACCAATATCCTCACACCTGTACCCACAGGTGTCATCATGACAAATGGAGAAAAGGTTGAAGTTTTCAAGAATTTTGTCTTGTTAGGATCCACAATCAGTACTCATGCAAGCAGTAATCAAGAGAGGAAAGATGAACTGCAATACATAAATTTACTGCACATGACCTCTTTAGAGTACTGAAAAGCAAGGATGTATCATCACCCCAGCCATAGTATAATCAACTATCAGGTGAGAAATGGACATTGAATAAAGAAGACCATACAAGAATGGATGCATTTGAATTTTGTTTTCTGGAGAAGAATATTGAAAGTAACGTGAACCGCTAATTGTTAAAAAAAAAAATCCATCTTGGAAGAAGTATGGCCAGAAAGCTCCTTAGAGACTTTGTCTTACCTACTTTGGACATGTTGTCAAGAGAGATCCGTCCTTGGGGAAGGACATCATGCTTGGTAAAATAGAGTGGGCAGTGAAACTGAGGAAAGCCTTCAGTGATATAGACTAACACAGTGGCTGCAACAATGGGTTCAAACATGGCATGAGAATATGAACCTACTTCTCTTTGTTGTCCATTCACATTTCTCAAAGATTTAGAGTATAAATAAATAAATGCAGTATAATATGCAGTATAAATAAATAAATATATTTATGAATTACCTTCCTGCTCTTAGGATAATGACTTTTCTTCACCTTAATTTTTGAGTTAAAGGATGATTATCCTGTGACACTATTCCTTTCTGAAGGCATTATTTCTTAATTAACTGCCAATTATATTTCTGCATCATTTTTATGTACTGAATTTTATTACATCATTAGATTTTATTTTTATATTCACAATTACTGCTAAGTGCTGAATTTTTAAAACCTGAAAGTAGAATTTTGTCATCAAAACATAAATTTTTGAAGGTAATGTTAAGTAATTATTTCATTTGCTGTATTTAGGTGGATAATGGATCCAATTAAAATGTATATTAACTTTTATAATTTGGAAACAGATTCTGTGATAAATAATGCCTACCATGTATAAGTAACAAATAGTGAATCATGATTGTGAATCATACTAAAATATGCATCTTCATTATTCCATTTTTGAGAATATTTTTCTTTAAAAGTTTTATGTAACTGATGATACACTCAGAAAACATAAGGTGCCTATAATGAATTATTACCATACTATGCATGAAGTTCACAGTCATGTGAAGATTGATTTTTTTTATATTAACGACATCTACACCCTTGTCTCTAAGGAGACTCCTGGCTGTTCTTCTAAAATAGATTAATTTCTTTATTTAGTTGCCCATAGTTCGTTCAGTACGCCTGCCAGTTATCAATAACTAAAAAATATTCTACACCTATTATGGTCTCATTTAAAGAGTTCCATTGCTCTTTACATCTAATATGAATATTCTAGGCATAATGCTAGGCATTTCTGGGAAAACAAAATTATCTGGACAGTGCTTCTACTTCCAAAATTCTTATAATTTATTGTAAATGATGCTAAAGGTAATGTTACATGAGAACACAAACTTATTAACAAGGATTGATCAGGAAAAGGCATCATTATAAAGGATCACAAGGTAATATTTAAATGGGCCTGAACAATTGGCAGAATTTTAATAGCTAAAGATGAAGATACAAAGAATGGACAAAATGTATTGTAGAGGAACAGTAAGGATATGGCAGAAATTCAGACTGCCAAAAAATAATTAATTAATACATGTTTTGATTTATCTTTTTAAAATGTATAGTGCAGAGAACTTTCTCATAATATTCAATGATATTTATTTTAAAGATGGTATATTATTCCATTTTAAAAATATATGACAAATTTAACTGTTATTAATTTGGTACATTTTGTATTTTTACTGTTTTCCACTAGCTTTTATAAACTTATTTGAACTATTGTACCAGTAATTTTAAAATAACAGGAAGTATTGATATGCAACAACATTTATCATTAAACACTAAATCATAAAAATAAATCCACTTTGGTTAGAGTATAGGTAATACATATCAACCTAAAAAACAAATTCACTGCCGAATTAACAGTGACCCCATAAGAGAGACTAGAACTATCCGTGAGCTTCAAAAACTGTCTTTCTTCCCAGGAATGACAGCTGCTCTGAACTTCTGAACTTGCTGTTAACAGTTTGAAATGTAACCACTATGCCACTAGGGTTCCTGCACATATAAGGATATGATTATACTTAAATTATAACATTGGGAATTTCTTGACAAATAATCTCATGGACACCTGTAAGAATAATTAGAAAACAGTAACAAATAAGTGTCAGAAAAAGCAAAATGATAAGATAAATTAAAATTATAAAATAACTTTTACTGTTGTAAATATCAAAAGGTAAATAGTAATCTAATGCTGAAACAAAAACTAGTATATGGATAATTTAACAGGTACAAAGAGGGTGCATAAAAGTCAATTAAGAAGTGATGATTTGGTTCCAAAAATGCTGTTGTGGGAAATTAATATATGAAAATAACTGTAGACCCTTATCTGACCAAATACCTAAAAACACATTATCTTAGAATGATCTTATTATTAAAACATAAACAAAATTTCAAAAGATAAGTTAAGTTAATATGTATCTCTGTAGACATTAAAGGATTTTCTAAGTATAAGAATGGTAGCAATGGGTGGGAGCAATGTGGGATCACTCTCTAGACCATTTTCTCCCAAAGTGGGTGATACCATCCTCTCTGTGGGTGCTAGAACAATCAATTTGTTCTGCAATTTTTTTTCTGAAAAAGGGGTGGTAGGCCATATACATTTGGGAAGCTATGCTCTAGATCATAGATACCTGTTATTTTTGGTGATGTGAAAAATAAGTCCATAAGTGGTGTAAAATAAAGAGTGCCACTATGATGTGCACAAGAGAAAAAATTAAGCTAAAAAACATGAAAAATAATTTGACAAAAGAACAAATAATGACTACAAAAGAACTGTATAATCACATATGATATATGTGTAGGTATATATGTGTGTGCCTACATACGAAGGGATACCCAAAAATAAAACCAGAATTTCGTTGGATAGAGCAGAGCCTTCGTAGTATGCATTTTTTCCCACGTGGTGAGCATCCAGCATCTTCTCAGTTAGTGCACCCAATGGTGTTACTTGGGAAGGTTTTCTCTGGTCACAGTTTATTTTTGAGTAAAAGCAGTTTCCTCAAACCTCATTTTCTGTGATGGCTGATTTAAGAGAACTCTGTGCGTCTGTGAAATGATTTCCTGCTTGGGAAAAATGCTGCAGAAACTGTTGTGCCCTTGAACACAGTTTATAAGAACAACACTAGGGGAAAAACTCAAGTGTATCAGTGATTTTCTCATTTCAAAAAAGGTGAAATGTCGATTGATAACAAACCTCGTTTTGGAGGTCCATCAACATCCAGACCAAATGAAAATGTTGACTCATAGAGCATTTGTAACTCATTCCACCAGGTCAGATTGTTAATCAAGCTTTCTAGTTAGAGGTTCTGAAAAGAATGCGTTTAACAGCGTGTAATCAAAGAAGCATGATTTGTGGCAGAGGACTGGTTTTTCCACCACGTCAATGCACCTATTCATGCAGCCATTTCAGTGCACCAATTTTGGCAAAAAACAGCATGCCTCTTTTGCCCCACAAAC